ACACACACACACACACACACACACACACACACACACACTTTTAGTTCATCCCTGTTGGCTGTGTCCTTGGCTGATTTGTTAGTTGAAGCGCTCTGCATGTATTTTGATTTTCTTTTTCTTATCTCGCTCTATCCATCTCCTCACTAATGATGAATAATACGCAGCTGGCCATAAGATGAGTCATATCGGTCAATACTCACTGACTTTCTCTTAGCAGCTATTCATTTACTGTATTCTAAATGACAAAGCTGGGATGGTCTTCACTCAGTCAGTACATTCTTATTGCAGCATTTTAAAAAGAAGGCCTCAGCCAAAACATTATGAATCAAGATTTGTGGCTTCTATTTCTATTGCTTTTTTTCTGTTGATCATTCTATGTCAATCACACAATTTAAGAAATGAATAGCATCAGCAACACATCAGCTTTCTAACAAAGCAGATGCATTTATAATGACTTTTCTTACAGATATCCAAGAGAATTGCAGGCAACAAATTAAACCTGTAGCATGTCATATTGACATAATAGAAAACTCCTTGTACATCTGTGGTCTGTAGACCACTGCAATACTGTACTGAGGCACATGTTCAATAATATGCTGTTGATTCATTGCTGTAGTTGTGTCTTGGAAAATTGAGTGATCAGCCAAGCAAACCACTTTATTTGAAGTATTCGCTTTAATCCATACATTTTTGTGTCCTACAAATGGGATGTTAGCAGGAACACACAGTGTAGTTGTTTCTAAAAGATACAACACTGAAAGAATCAATGTGTTTTAATTTGGCCTTTAACTGAGCTCAGTGTTAGCTTAAAGGGATAGTTCGTCCAAAATGAAAACTCTCTTGTCATTGTTGTTCCAAACCTGTATGACCTTTTTTCTTCTTTGTAACACACACAAAATATATTTATATCTTAGTGTTTTTTGTGTGTGTGTGTGTGTGTGTGTGTGTGTTCTGCAGTATGAATTTATCTCTTCTGTTGAACACAAAAGAAAATATTTTGAAGAATGTTGGTAACCAAACAATTGCTGGTAGCCATTGACTTCCATAGTATTTATTTTCCATACTATGGCAGTCAGTGGCTACCAGCAGCTGTTTGGTTACCGACATTCCTCAAAATATCTGCTTTTGTGTTCAACAGAAGAAATATACTCATTCAGGTTTGGAACCTGAAGGTGAGTAAATGTAGACAGAATTTTAGTTTTTGGGTGATCAATCCTTTTAAGTTAAAGAAAGAATTCTACCATTAATTTTGGCACTCTTGATATTCAAGTAACACTAATGAAATGAACAGATATGACAGCTAATGAACCCTAAAATCAGAGTTAAATAACATTCAGATTCAGTTATTCAAAAAACAGTGATTATATATTACATCCACTGTGGTTGGTTATCAAAACACGGTAAGGATGTGCATGGGTCATTTATTTTTATCTCATGCCATATTTCTAATTTGTGTAAACAATGATTCTAACCATCTCAGATAGCTGGAGCATGACTCTGATTTTGTCATCATGCTGTTATTATATTCAGACAAGTAGATTTATCAGCTCTTACTTTTAATCCCTCTGTGACTGACATGTAATTGAAATAGCTTTTATTGATGGCAGTATTTTCTAAATGGCTGCACTTGTATCGCTCAAATCTCTTAGACCTCTTCGGATGCATCCTCAGAATCGTCTCAGACAATGTGGGGCTGCAGCTCTTGTTTTACGGGTGCTTCCCTGGAACGTTGACCTTACTGAATGAAATATAGGCCGATGGCTAGAACTCAAGCCTAACTCTAGCAGTTCCACTCATAAAGCAGTGGTCATAAAACCTGAGTGCATAAATTCTGCTGCACAGATGTGTGGAGGGGAGGCCAAGTATATTTGTGTCAACACCGAGCGTAATTACAAGGTGATAAAGACGTGGAAAGTGCTAAATCAGTTCCGCTAACCAACAGGTTTTTGAGGCAGCGCTATGATTGACCGCTGTGAAGTCACAAATCAAAGAGGTCGACAGCGTTGTCATAGCATTGGTGTAAGCAGAGTGTACAGATTAAAAAAGCTCTCTCATCAGTCTTTATTGATCCACCACTTACAGTGAATAAACAGCTATTCGGCTCATCTCCACAAATCACTACATGTATCTATAATATGTGGGAGCATTTTAGAGTGTGATAGCACATGCACAAAATAGTTGCTTCATTAGTGTTTATTATTAGAGTATTTTGGTAATGCTCAGATGGAACATGGAATATAAATTTAAAGGGGTCATGATATTTTCACCCTCATGTCATTCTGAACCAATTTATTTTTAAAAAGTTTTTTTTTGTCCGCACAATGACATGTATGGATTTGTATTTGGGTTTTTTTGACCCCACTTACTATCTTTGCATGAACAGAAGAGTCCTTTCAAAATATCTTCTTTTGTGCTTATACTGGTTTGGGACAAACATGAGGGTAAACTATCCCTTTAAGTTCTGAACTGCACTGCCATGCCCAACACTGAATTTCAGTACAATCTCAAATTAATTTTTTTTGCTACATTTTATTGGTGATTCATTCAGATTTTATTTAGTGTGCAACCATAATAGTTGCATTACGGCTCACGGTTTCCTTCAGATCAGCCTCTCCTTGCCACCATTGTTTCCCTGCTCATGCCACATGGTTCCTTAGTTCAGAACACTTGAACATGAAATAGCGGCGAAGGCTAACATCCATCTGCCAGTTTGGTACAGCCTACTCAATCCTCAAGGCTGAAGAATCACGGCAGCAGGATATTTGGAGATGTTTTTCTTCCTGCTCTAATCACATTGCATGTACGCTATCTACATGTACTTTAATTTGTCTTATTTTTGTAACTCTTTTTTTTTTGCATTATAGTTTGTTTTCTTTGTTTATTTTTTCTAAATGTGTAGTTGAAGGGCCCCGTAGAGAGTTTTTTTTCTGAACTGTTCTTTTTTTTTTTTTTCTTCAACCATACCATCCTTTTGCATTCCAAACTCTTAATTTATGCGCCTAGATTCAAAATACATGACTCCCAAAGGTCAGACCCAACACATGCCAGAATTCCCACTGGTCCAACCTACTTTTAACATCCAGATGCTCCATCAGTATGGCTGTGGACACTACTGCCACCTTCTGGCTGAAGATTGGAAGGTTTTTCAAGCTAGTGGTTTTTAAAACAAATACTTGATGGTTTGTGTTAAAAATCTGTCTCATTATATGTATATTTTTTTATTTTATATTTAAAATTAAATTTATATTTATAAATATATTTTAAATATATTATTTATATTTATGTGTAGTTTATATATAGTTTGTGTTTTAGACTGCCATTTAATCTGATAAACATATATGTTTATGTGTAATTTTCTCATGTTCCACTGTGCAGGTTTTTAAAGGTAGACATAAATGTGAATTTGCATATGAATATGCAGTTCTCTCAGACAAAACTGGGTGATTGTGTCTGTTATCTCCTCCCTTGTGGGACACATCCTCGTAAACTTCAGACAGATGACTGCTCCAGTTGGCCTCCCGCCCAGGGGGTCTGTCTCCTACAAAATGCCTAAAGAAAAGGAAAAGGTGCCATAAAAGAAAAGGAAAATCCAGTGGAAATATACACTCCTTTATTTAACTCATTCTCACGCACTCATCTAAGGACCTGCCTTCTTTGTGGCAATAGAGGCGCTGTATAGACATATTGAGCTTTCTATTTACCAGCAGAGGCATCAGGGGGTGAGTCTGGGGTTCTGGGGTCATGCAGAAGGCAACGGTCATCTCCCAGTCAACTACAGTAGGTCATTATTCAGACTAAGCCAATAGTCCAGAACTACACAGCGGCCGCCCCCCTCACGCTCTGCATAATTATTATAAATGGGAGGCCACATAAACAGCCATCATTACAGGCTCTCAGCAGCATACACAATCCACTTTAAATGCCTATTAAGTTTAAGTGCCATCAGTAATCCCCAAGTGTACTTTTACAATGGCAGATTATTTGGTCATCCACATTTTTACTAGATGTCGCACCTTCGAACGCCCAGGATTTGGGATTAAATAAGGCCTGTGGTGTTTCCTCTCTGGTTTATTTGACTATGCCAAACAAATATTGATATTACGAATTCTTAATGGCTAGCTACGATGAAAATGACATGCAAATGAAATGCACTGATTGAGATAAATTGAATGATGCTGTCTTTGCTCGAGCAGCAGATCAATACCTGTTCGCCACCTGCCGTGTCTGCTGCTTAGGACTAGCAAACAACGTGATGTATTGGTGTTTGTCTTTTAAGATGGCTGGATGAGTGAGTCCCTGTGCAGCACTGAGCGTGTGGAGCTGATGCTTTACGATGCGAGTTAAGGAAAGAGAAGCAGGAGAGGAAAAGTGGAGGAGGGGGTTGTAGCACCCGAGTGCCGGGTTCAGCGGCGGGGCAATGAGAGACTTCCTGCGCTCCATCACTCCCAAGGCCTACCTCAGTCAGCTGGTGGCCAGGGGCTGAGGCCTCATGTCTCATTCTTATTACCATGTCTACTGCCTCCACGGTGTGTGTGCGTTTCTACTCGTAACCGAAAAAAATGAATGCACACGGGCACCGAGGGAGAGTTTGCAAATAAGGGAAATGATTAAAACACGATTGAGGAAGGAGGCATGCATGCAAAGTGTGTCATCTTAGAGGGAAATTTATAGAGGGGAGAGGAAGAAAAGGTTGATTGGTATTCTGGTGTTATTATAGACAAGATTCACTTTTGATCCTGTCATGATATTGTTCAAGTTAAGCCACTCCTTTTTAAGGCATCATTAGCTGTCAATCTGTCCCCTGGTCGCTGGAGAGCAATGGGCCCATCTGAATACCATTGCTAGCCGCCCCCCTGAGTGAGAAATAAATGATATCAGTGGCACACTGCAGGTGTTGTCATGGCAACGCACACTCCCAATAGCTCCCTGTGCCAACTCCGCCTTTCTCGGGAGAAGGTCATGCGGAGGTCAGCGTCATCGCAGCGATGCACTTCATTTTCACAGCAGCTGCCCACCAGACCTAGACCAAACTGAGATGCACCTGACCCTGTCCTGTTACAGAGAAGCTTCCCGAAAAGCCACCCATTATCCCTGTCCCATGCAGTTCTTTCGGGCAAATCTCTATAACAACCCTTTCTACGGTCTCCCAAATGCCTCTAGCTGACAGATGCATTGCCGAAAAGCAGATTGCTAATACTGGGAGGCAGGAAAAATGAGGCAGGAATGAAAAGGACACGAGTCATTGAAATGGGACAGACTGCACTGGAATGTATTGACTCTCTTTCTTGTACTGTGTGTGTACTCTGTTTGAACCCACAGTTACACCATGTTGGGGAGGGTGGGGGTGTGGAAGGCGGGGCGGAGGAGGCGTGTTGGATGGGAGGAGGTGCAGCAAGTTCAAAATGGCTTGATCAGCCATGGACGCACCTGTGATTTCGAGGAGTATTATACAACAGTGTGTTCCAGTCCTCAACACTGATTGCCATTCTAAGATTGCTAATATACAGTTAATTCGGAAAAGTACTTTTCACTGTTTTAACATTCTGCTTGTCTGTGTTCCAGAAACACTGTCAGTCTGTGTGTTAGTATAGGGATTTTTCAGTGACTCTTTCTGCAGGTTACTTCTTTACACCAGTAGGTGGCGACGCACAACTGTCTGTTCCTGAATAAATCAGCGTTTTTGAAGAAATCGGTTGATTGAATGATTCAGTGACTCACTCAATGAAGTGACATGAATCAATAAATGGTACATATTCGTATGCCATTGAATCATTTACTCAATCAATTTGTTCTGAAACGAGGGCTGCATCCAAAATCGCATACTTCCCTACTATATAGTATGTCTGAATTCACACTACTCATAAAATAGTGGGCTGGATGACCTGCTACCTCCAGCAAGATTCTCAAGTTTGCATATGATGGACACTTTACTATACCATGAGGCCATGGGAGAGGAGTTGTGAATGGCAGTGAAGTGACACAACTGACACTGGTAGGTCTCGTGATAATGACAACATGGCGAATGTAGTATGTCCAGATTACATTCATACTACACGCATTCATACTATATAGAACATAGTTACTACTACTTTTTTTAGCAGTCATGAAGTAATTACTTATTCAAAATAAGTACCTACTCATGAGAGTATGCAATTTCGGACGCAGCCACTGATTCATTCCGGAACAAAACAAGTTACTTTCTTTATGATTGATTCATTGAATCATTTCCTCAGCTAATTTGTTCAAATCACTGATTCATTTAGGAATAAAACAAGTGACTTGCTGCATGCAAAATCACCCTTTTACCCTCATTAATTATTCCTTATTTTACTCTACTAATATAGTGGCTAGCTGTTCAGTGTACATGTATTGTGCACTCATTACTAAGGTGCATTATGGGAATGAATGAGTGCACATGATAATGTCAACTTTATTTTTGAACACCACTACAAACGGCTGTTACTTCAAATAGTGCATCAGGGTATAGAGGGTGATTTTGGACACATACCATCTTCATGAACAAACCATTGAATCATTTATGCAACCAATTTGTTCAAAACAAAGATTCGTTCAACTTGAGTGCCACATTTTTAGAACACTGTGACATGAACAAGACAATGGAAAAGGCATGATGTGAGCGCAACAGTCAAACATGTCTGTCTAGTGCATTATTGCATAGTAAAACAATGGAAAAGCTGTGCACTAAAATGCAAAACGCGCTCTGTGTGAATGGACCCTTCTGGCAACATTGGGTCTAAAATGTAAGTTATTCAATATTAACTTCTTGTTTACTGAACTGTCGTATGAGCACATCAATCTACACCTCCAACAATCCCCATCTGCATAGCTGCATGCGTCTCAGACAAAGAGCTCAAGTTCTTGGATGTACTGCTACCGAGGCGTTGATGCCGCAACGGCATTCAGCTCACCGTCCAGATGGATTTTATTCCATATAGCATCATTAAAGCGGCTCATCTGCATTGGCTGAGGACTACATTAAGCTCTCAGCACTGTGGTTGTGCTTAAAGAGGGGAAGGTAATTAGTTCCTACTCTCCTCAGCAGGCAGCGGATGGATGACATGCTCATCATGTCTAAATGTACAGTGTGTGCTGCTAGAATACTAAAGCTCTTAAAACACTTCAGTCTTTCACTATCAGTGTATCACATGTTCTTTAATCTCCTCAGTTATAAAACCATCCACCTGAATCTGTCTTCATTCATTTAAGGCCAGATCTGGGGCTCTCTCCACTCTTACTCTGAAGAGCTTTGGCCTGGAATAGCTCTTAAAGGTATTTGAAATTGGAGAGGAGTGAATCAAGAGAATGTTATGGTGGAAAAACAAAGAGCTTCAAGAAAATAATAAATTGAGATTTCCTCTGCTTCCCTCAAGGCATAACATGTTATTATACTTTTCCAGCACCGTGATATTATCATTTGTGCATCCAAGAACCACTGTTATCCAAACACTAGTCCCCTAACTTATGTCAATATCTCTAGCGGCAGATTCACCGCACACTTCTGTAATTACCACAGAAATCGGTAAATCGGTGTTTCAATATTTAAATTAACATTTACATTTGCATTCGAATGGCTGTATGCAGGTGCATGAAATTTTTGTTGTATTATAAACATCATGATACTTTGTTTTTATGTGCAGTTTTAAAGCCCTGATGATCCAAACAACTAAGTAAACATCCTTAAGAACACTATAAGTACCATCTCTCGCCACAGCATTTCATTTTCTCTGATTCTGCAGATAAAAATCCTCATCACACATGCATCAGTTCCTAAGTGGCTAAACTCAATGTTTCTGTGACAGAAGACTGCGTATGAATATAGATTGAACATATTTGGAGACAATATATATGCAAAAATGGCTATTATAATTTGTTTGCTGATGAATTGATTTTATATTTTGTATCTAATACAATGAAATTCATCCAATGTATTACCTTTGAACTAAATCAGTTGAAAAATAATTGGGCGCTGGTGTCTTCTGATCGTTGACCAAATCCTCACACAAGTGTCTGTATTTCTATTTGTCTAAACTAGGAATATAACATCCATGGATGGTGGATCGGAGAGCTGGATGGCGCTATTGGCATAGTCCCCAAGGAGTTTTTACATCCTGCTTATATTCTATGAGGTACTTGCATTCACAGAATCATTCTACATGATTACGTAGCTTATGGCATAAACGAGAACAAAAAAACACAACTTAAACTGAGAGTGAGAAATTGTGTAATTGTCATATTGTATCCATCAATGAACTTTACCACTGTCTTAAAGTTTCAGAAGTTTTCAAAATTGCGTCAGCATTAAATCCAGTCCCTCCATGCTGACACCTGCTGGAAATTATTGCAACTACAAAGATATATGGCAACATAATTTTAGATTCACACATTTAGAGATTCTTCAAACTGGTGTTAAATATTTTGTTTTCTTTTCTAGGTTTGCTTTTTGTGAAGATAACAGAATGTTCAGCGTTATAACACTTTAACACCTCATCATGGTTTGAGAACTGTCAATGATTAGATAAGAATGTGAATTCAACATGCATTTTAGTCCATTTATAGAACCTTAACCATATCTGAGACCAAATAGATTTTCTTAATTTTTTTTGTATATAAGCCTTTTTATATATTTCATGATTAGTGTACACTGAGGCTTGTCTAAATCTACATTTCACGGGTTTTCTGAATTGTTCAAACATAAGCCACATTAATGCAATTGGTGTACATAAGAAAAACATTTGTAGTGTAAGAACTTCTCATTTATCATCACTTAAAGGTTGTGTTCTATTTCAACAGCACAAAATATTGAATACAATTATCCTTTTTAATGTACAATTAAGACCGTGACTGCAAAGAGCCATTATCAGTTATTCTTTAGTATGTTGAAAGTTCTTAACTCTGCATTTGTTTTTGAAATTGCTTAGTTCACAGTACTACTAGCAATTTCAGTAGATATTACTCCATGGAAATAACCTGTCATACCACAGTTTAATTAAAATAAAAAGCCTTGCCACTTTGGACTCAAGTATACTTTTTGTGTAAAATTTAATTACATGTATTCAAATAGGGACTGCAAATCAAATTACTTCTAAAAATATTCAGGAAAAAAGCACAACACAAGAACAGCACTTAATGACGTGCCTTAAATGTATTGTAAAAACAATACTTTATTCAGCAAAATGTATCACAAATGACATTGGACAAAATGAAACCATAACAAGCTTCCAGAACTTGATGAATCAGTTATTTCAGATGAAAATATAATATTCCATCATGTAATAACTGTCAGATCACACTCCAAATAAAATCTCGCACAATAACTGCCTTGTTTCCACTTTAGCCTACATGTACATTTCAGATGAACAACATAACCTGCTTAAGTGAAATACAGCATCAATAAGAGCTTCTCTGCTTCTCAACCGGAGAAACAGAGCATCATGGGTAGATCCATAATCACTTAACCCCTAAGGAAGCTCAGAAACACTTGAAATGCATTCAAAAACTACATGGAATTTGGCTTTTCAAAAGATACAAAAATGAAATCCACTGTTGAAACATTTCTTTAAATAAAGAAAAACAAATCGGAGTCAGTTTCCTCGGGACGCACGCTCAGGCTCTGCCTTTATACATTTATACTGTCCGCTAAGAAACAAAAAAATAAAAATCAAAAAGGCCTCATTTTAAAGGGTTTAAAATCGTGACCATATTTTACAATTCTATCTTAAGTGGCATGTACTATTAGGCCAGATTGAGGTGTCCTTCTCTTGGCCTGGGTATAATGGGTAACAGGACTGCTCTAGAACCACCTGAAGGCTAAAGCTAGCTCCAAATGGTGGAACAACAGGCCAAGAATGAAAGGGGAGGGGGATCTTAGTACAGAGCATCTGTATTGCTGCTCCTCGGCCTCTTGATCTTCTCTATGTTCTTCAGGATCATGTCATGTAATGTTACCTGCAGTACAATTACATATTATTAAATCAATTATCACAACAACTCCCAGACAGCACATACATACAGTAATCTGACTTTCTGTACATCAAAATAAAGATAATATTTAAGATAATTTGCATTATTTCTGTTCTAGCAATACTTACGTATTGATTTCTCAGTTCTGACACTATGATCTTGAGGCTGATGTATTCTTTCTCATCAATCTCTGTCACCGTGCGACGATAATCCTCCTATAACAGTCAAAATATATATTATACATATATAAAATAATTACTGAATTCCTGATCTAAATGCTGTGTACTTTAGATATGACTTACAACATGAGGGTATTTTGCTATTTTGGAAACCAGCTTTGCCCTTGTGATGTAGTACCTGTAAAAAAGTTTTTTTTTTTTTAAATATGAAGGTAAAATAAAGTGTGCAAATCTTTGATTAACATTGACTTAAGATGATGATACAACAAATCTATCTAAAAATTTGTTGCCCATTCTCAATGGGAAAGTGCCCAAGCAACATCGCTCGGTGACACTGCCCAGCAACACTGCTCAAAAAGTTGCCCCGTGTATCATCACCTTTAGACACGTACCTGGAAATCTGATCTAAGAAAGAAGCTGCTTCCCCTTCCACTGTTCTGAGTTCAGTCACCGTCTCTTCCTGTGGATGGTGAAGATAAACAGAATCATAACTCCAGCTAAATGGCTGACAAAGTCTTTTTTCATTTGAAATTCCCTGACAATACCAAACATAAGGAATAATTTTTCTTTAAACAACAACAAAAAAATACAGTAAATTGCGAAGAATCACTGCTTGTCCTTTTATGTCTGCCTACAACAAATATAGCTTATGCTGTTACAAGACCTTCAATGTACCAAATGAAGAAATGAAAAATGTGGCACCGTACTTGAATTGAGACACCAAAATTGTTGCCATCTTCTATTCTTGGGATTAACAACTGAACCCACATCTTGACCTAGAAAACAAAGCAAATTACATTTATCCAACACACTTTTAAAGAGTGAGAGCATGTCTGAGACTATGGTTACATGGTCTTACCGTGTTGCATTTTTCTATGACAGTTCTGATTTCAGGCTTGACTTTTTCAATCAGCTCCACCAGCTTGCCATTGCTTTTCATCATTCCACCAGGCATGACAAAGACTTTGGTACCGCCAACTACAAACAGAAATCATAGGCCCCGTTTCTACCTGGTACTAACATGCATTTTCAGTGATTCGATCACAAGTGGTCAGGTGAGATACATTACCGTTTTTCACCTGGTAATCAACATGCATTCAAATGCATCTCTTGACCACTTGTGTTCAGATTTTGTCACACTCAACATCACTTTCACATGAGCACTCAGTGTGACGCACGAGTATTACTGAATGTACGAGTGAACAGGAAAGCCAGTGAATGAGATCATAATTCATGTGGTTTGGTCCAACTACACTATGAAAGCAATTTAATCTAATGTGTTTTCAGCTACCTCTGAAAGTGGTCAAAAGTAAAATGTTTTAGACCCCATTTACACCTGTATTTAGTGTTGTCCACTTTTGATTGGATTGACAAAAACGCATCTTAATACCAGGTGTAAACAGGGCCACAGGATAATGTAGGGAAGAGTGAGAGCAAGATGTTTTGGTATCAATATAGGTCTCAAATTGATTTTATTCACCTTACAAATTCAAGATACTGTTTTTATTAGGAAGGAAAACTCACCTTTGTCATCTCCTGCACCATCTTCGAGTTTCCTCTTTTTAGCATTTTGCTGCTGAGAAAATATTTCAAGGTTACTGGCTGATCTTTTTGTTTCATGCCAAACAGACAATCTTTTGCACAAAGCAACAGAAACCTATCCTATTAAGAGAAAAATGGCTTCTTACCCCCTCCAGTCCATCACGGATGTCTGTAAGTAGAATTGGGTCTGGCACCGTCAGATTGATCTCTGAATGAATTTCTTTTAGCTCACGGATATTAATTGTGGGATCCTTAAAAAAATCAAGACACAATCAAAAGGCTATCACACAAATTAATGTGTTAATCTGAATAAGTAAATGCCAAGAATGCACAATTTTTCCATTATTAAACTTGCCTTCAAAAACTGGTCCAGCTCTAACAGTTTCTTCGGGAAAAAGTTTGCAACCAAGTCTTCAGCCTAAATTTGAATAATTAAACCATAAGCTGTCCAACAGTCACAAAACCATGCATATATATAAATGTATATAAACTCTGTGTAAATGCAGCAGTTTACCTCTGCTGTAATTCGTTCCCTGAAAGCATCAACCTGGCAAGACAAGAATTATTCATATATAACTATAAACCACAAGACATGTAATACACAATCTGATTTTTGTTGTCACAGTTTATAATGTCGTGTTTTTGAAAGTCAATCACTTTCAGAAGAAAAAAAACGCAACCGGCGGCCCTTCTATTTTAAGACGCTGAATGTTTACAACATGTAACGTTACCATGAAATCGAGCCGTTTCCCGCTCTCCCGTGACTTGTTAAGCCTTCCTCGCGATCTTCACCGTAACCGCTTTACAACATAAACAAACGACTTTAATATACGTTTAGCTTAATGATGTTAAAATCGTGCTGAAACCACTATGCAGTTCTCCCGCAGCGGCATGCTGCTGTGCTAAAAACACGCTTCATCCACACACTCGCAGTTAACGCGCATGTGGGAGCTCTGGCTTCACCCTGAATATTTGATATGTATAATCTTCACATACTTTATTACAATATGTATTTTCTGCTTAAAACAGAACTGATTTCACAAGCATATATGTGAGTAAAAGTTAGCAAACACGCTCACGAGGTGACACGCGCAGCCGGCTAGCCGCAAGCTAACATTTACAAACGGTTCATCGGAGTGCTCTTAAAATAAGGGAAGCGGCGAGACATTTACCTTTTTTTTAATTTCATTATCCACCTTAAGAAGCGAAGACATCGTCTCAATTCAATAAAGGATAAAAGTAATGGATTGTCCTAAAAGCATTAACTAACCGTGTGGCTCACTAAACTGCTGTCAGCCACAAGGCACTTGCGCGCTTCTAGATGACGTAAACACTTCGAGACCATAGATGTAAATACATAGCCTTCAAATCTGTTCTGCCGTGTGGAAATATTTACTCTTCATTCATTTTGAATTTGATATCATCTGGAATATGCAGAATCATCTGACATTCATGACAAAAACAAATCAATACAATATAGTGTACATACTGACGATTCGCTGTAATCAGCATAGCTTCCGTGCTAAAACGGTATCTACCTATTCACACCTCTATGTTCGGGACGACTTCGAAAGACGTAGTGTGCATGCGTGCGTCATATTTTTCTCTGTAAAAATATTATTTGATGGAATCACAAGATAAGCACTTACAAGAAACTGTTAAATACTTTCACGAGCCCTCAAATATGTTTAATTTTATTATTTATTTAGGACCTAAAGTAAATCCGAGACACTTCCTCTGACGTGTTTTGGGGGCGTGTACAAATCTAGCGATGTAAACAAGAACGCAAAAGACAAGTCTGACAGTGTTGACACCACCACGGGCATTTATAGAGCGTCACATCCCCGCATCAAACGCATTAGTTGACTCTGGCTAACAGCCATGAACCTCCCCGTCACTGTCAAAGTGAACTTTAGGGGCAACGTGAAGAAATTTCCAGTCTTGGACACGAACAAAGCACAGTGGGAGACTGTGGAGGCCTGGGTAAGGAGTCATTAAGCCTTGCTGGGTGGCGTTTATGTGGGGACGTTTACATTTCTTGGTTCTGGAAGGCCGTAGCTGAGGCCTACATAAACAAACCTTAACCGGGGGTAACGTATAAGACGTTTAACCTTCAGTCAAAATATTTAATCCTATTATAGTAGATATGTATTAACATATATCACAGTTGGGTCTTTTATACAAACCCCAGTGATATCAATTGCAACTGTATCTGTCATTTGCTCTTGACCTTTCTGTTCGGCCATAAATCAGATGACAGCTTGTAAATAAATAATAACGTTGGAGAATAGCGATTTTCACTCTAATCTGCCTGTAACTCTTCGATGTCTTTAAGAAAGTCTGCAGTTCCTGATGGTGTTTGTTTACATTGTTAGTTGACTTAGTGCCTTTTTATAACTTGTAGATTAAAACTACATTCGGCCTGATCCATTTTCAAGTGAAATATTTTGACGAGGACAACGAGGAGGTAAATAATAACAGTTTAATAACGAGTTTATATCATTTTGAATATATCTGTGATTTCATAGTTTTACATTGATCGATTATATTTTTTTAAAGTATGAGTTTGACAAAAGTCGATTGACTATTGTTATAAACCTGTTTTCAAAAGTACTTCTATTGATATTGTCTTCTTATTTTTACAGGTGTGCATAAACTGTCAAGGTATGAAATACATTCAGTCTGTAGTGTTCAAATATTGATATCATAGTGAATTTAAAATATTATTGCCTATATTATTTATTATTTTATGTTATTATTATCATCACAGATGAGTATACAGAAGCTCTAAAGGTAAGAACACCAATCTTTTTTTCAGTCACAAGCCAAATCTGACCCATGCTGTTAAAAGTTATGCCATCATTATGATCATAATTGTAAAAAATCCC